TTCTTGTTATTTTCTAAACAGTATTTTTGGTCCCATTAATCTCTGTTTAAAAGCTAGTTCTAACTTTTGTTTTTTCTTACTGATAAATTATCTTAAAACAAAACTTCAGTAATCGATTGACTTGTTTTCTCATTGTTTCTATGCTTCTATTTATTTTCAATCTCTTTGTGCAGGGCCAAGATGTCTATAGCATTTCTGTGTTGCCGGAGGAAGGAAAAACGAATCCGAAATGTACACCGCAGTTAACCTTTTTGAGCCTCTTAGAAGTTCCTTTTTCGTCTAAAAAACAGATGCGTTTGGATGCTCAATTGAGTTGTCACAACTGCATCGACTTGAAAGTGGATAGTGAAGATGCTTATTCATCATGCATTCTGGACATAAACATCAAGAAGGAGATTCCTGACATACTTGCATCCAGTGATGAAATTGTTGGAAATTCAAAAAGTGAAGGTGTACTAAAGGTAAGTTTGATATTCCTATCTTTATAGCATGAGTTTTAAAGCAAATTTCTCCTTTTTAGAGGGCATATTCAGTGAAGCACAGATCATACACTTAGAATGGAATATACAAAATTCAATTATTTAGTCATCAAAGCCCTGATAGTTTTCCTTGGGTGTTGGACTTTTTCTTTTTCACTCTTACTAATGTTAGATCTCAATGAAACAGCATTTGCAGAAGGTGCTGCAGAGACAGTCAAGCTTAAATATAGGTGAGAATTCACACAGCTCTGAACTGTTAATGTGTTAATTTGCAGGTCTGTAAACATATTCTAATACCTATTTGGAACGATAGTGTTCCCATCTTCCTCATAATCAATGGAATAATTTTCCATTTCCTTGATGTGGTTGGTGATTGCTTTATTTTGCATAAGAGTTGCTAGTTTCTTTTAAACAATAAACCATCCAAAAGTACTGAATATTGAGTTAACCAAGCTGTTATAAAACAGTTCAGGTTTCTAATGTTTCATGCCCATCATTCAATGTGGTGGTTTATCAATTAAACTTCCATTTTTCAATGGGAATTCCAGCAGCTAGCAGAAAAAAGAGGTTCCCATGGTGATTCATGATGATTGCTATTAGAGTCGAAAACATGTGAATCTTCTTGTAGTGAATTTATAAGCTAGATCTCTATAGTGAATTGGCCCTAGTGATGATTCCATTTGTTTAACTATTACTTCAAAGGGTTTTGAAGAATTCGAAGATTGAACTTTATTTAGTCATTTCTCCTGATCAGTGAACTTTTTTAGCTACACGAGTGTTTTTGGAATCATATGCTAGCAGAAAAAAGAGGTTCCCATGGTGATTCACGGTGATTGCTATTAGAGTCGAAAACATGCAAATCTTCTTGTAGTGAATTTATGATCTAGATCTCTATAGTGAATTGGTCCTAGTGATGATTCCATTTGTTTAACTATTACTTCAAAGGGTTTTGAAGAATTCGAAGATTGAACTTTATTTATTCATTTCTTCTAATCAGTGAACTTGTTTTAGCTACACGAGTATTTTTGGAATCATATGCTACCTTTTATCTGCAGTATTTTTGAGTTTCACAAGTAGGAACTGTCCAGGTCTTTTGGTTATGCATCTTGCATGTTTTATTTTTAATTCCTTTGGTACCACCTTTGGAACATAAACCCCAAGCTTGATTTGAACAGAAAAATCATCGGCCGAGAGGGTTCAAGATGCACCAATGAACAGATGGAGAAGATATAGACGAGCTGCATCATTTGATTCAAGGAAAATAGTCCTATTCTCAATCTTGTAAGCCCTTGAATTCTTAGCAAACAAAGAGTTTGTTTTTGAACTACATATTTTTCATAAGTGGTTCCATTTAGTAATCTTTTGTTCAATATAAGCATCTTCGAAAATAACCCAATTAGTAACAAATTCCATGGTTCTACCGTGATTGAGCAGTGAATAATATATTACTAAAAACTAATTGGAACAGATACTCAAAAATGAAAATATTTGAGAGCTAGTTGACCACTACGAAGGAAAGATTTTGCTTAGAACTTGTAGGTTTGGGATGTTAGTGTGATCGAACACAAACCCTACTACTCAATTATAAGTAATTGAGTTGAAGCCGAGCATGAGAGTGGAGCTCATTTTCACTAGTTAAACGAGCTTTCATTGAACTTAACTGATCAAGTTTGAGCAATTCAATTTTCGTGTCCTGAATTTTGAATTGAGCTTGAATTTCTTACAGCACGTACTCTGCTAACTTGGTTACACCCTTACTCCTAACCTGACGGGAACAGTGAAATTAGGTTTGCTGCAATTGTTATTGGCTTTTGGGCAGTGACAGCAGATTGTATTCAAGTTCTACCATAAGGTTTTCTAGTCCTAACAGTAATCAGAACAGTCCCTTTCAACCAATGACATTACTTTCTTTCTTTGGTTCAGGTCAAGTTTGGGGACATTGATATTGATTTATCTGACGTTGAGAGTTAAGGCAAGCTATTAACAGGTTCGGGTTTTTGGATGTGAGCACCGGATACGGTTATGTTCATATTTTTCATAGATTTATATCCTCTACTCATGTCTGCCGCCTTCTACTTTATGCTTTTGAGCATTTTTTTCTTGAAATTTCTTGAGAACTTGTGTGTTTTGAGAACAGGTGCTTTAAGTTCAAATGTCAACAAGTTTTCCATCATATTTTTCAATGTAAATATGAAGCTTTAGTATAAAGTTGTACTTTTATCATTTGCCAAATGAGAGTTTTACAATTCTGGAGGTTGAAGAGTTGTGCTTAGAACTATATACGGTAATTTTGAAGGACACATTTTAAATACATACTCTAAAAAACAGAAAGTAGAATAAACGTGTTTCTACACATTTAACCGAGTTATTAGAGATCACAACACTCAAATTTTACTTTTCAATTAAATATTAACCGCTAGCTGCGGTACGGATACAAAAAATTTACTAGAAGTTGCCCAGTATTGATACTTATAAACTATACGGATATCACATGAACAAATACTGATATTTTAAGCTTACAATGTCTATATTTCTTAGTAATATTCAAAAGATATTAATACTGCAAAAACAATATTTATATCAAATAGCAAAAATAATCTCCTAAGGTCCAGAAAATCATCCTAATATGGCTCAATTCAACCCATAACCCCCAAATCAATCCCCAAAGCCAATAATGTTTTACTTGCATCATTTAACAACATTTAGAATAATTTCCATCGTAAAAATCATCGCATATGAGTCAATTCATGCGACTTGACATCTTACACACTAAATATGCATTCCAACTTATAAATCTGGTTCATATGAATATGCCAAGAACAGAAATATATTATCTTAAGTCAAAAATACCAAAAAGGAGGCTCAATGATCACTTCTTCAAGCTTTTTCTTTGCCTCTAGCTTGAAATGGTTATCTCACTTCTTTCGCTAGATAAACATGTGATGGAAAGGGTTATAACACATCTAAAGGGTGAAAGACGCATAGAATGAAAGCTCATAACTCCAAAAAAAAAATATCTCCAGGAGTCTCTTCTTAAGTTAAACCCTTCTAAAATCCTAACTCAACCCTCAACCTTCTTTATGGAATTTGTATCTCAAAATGAAGTTTATGGTATGAAGAAGAAGGTGTTTACCTTAAAAATAGGTTCTAGCAACACCAAGAATCAAAGATGATGAAAAAAACCAAGAGAAAGAGAAGAATGATTAAGTAGACAAAAGGTAATCAAATGAGGTCACTTGACCCTTATATAACCAAACCCATGTCTGAAATAAGGCTATAAACCAAAAAAATCTAATTTGTTTCCTTGAAAAAGTAAAATGGCTCCTTTGGTCCTCTCTCTTTTCTCCCTTACCCAAAAACGCCCCTTAGACCCGCTAACTGTGTTCCAAATTCTCTATCAAGGTCAACCCTTAACTAACAACACAAAACAGCTTAATCTATATTTCTCTATCCGGGTCAACCCGCGAACGTTGACTCGAAAATTTCGGGTCATTACATAAATTACACATTAGAAGCAATTTCGGGTCATGGATGAGAGAAGAAAAAATTCACTGTAAACATAGAGATAACAAAGAGTTCAAATATATGGAATTCCCTACTTACTAAAAACCTGATATATTTCACAAACATAATGTACCAATATCCCAACAAAATCTCTCTCAAACATAGATTTCAGAAGGATTACTTTTCTTTAATAACTCTCTCTCATAATTCAAAAAGTTAAAACTTACTTCATATTTATAGAGTAAAATATTTGGTTACAAAAGAATTTTATTATACAAGAATTCTTATTTAAATAATTTTAATCACCAAATAGTTTTTAAACACTAGAATTATAACCAATTTTATTTTAATTATCAATTAAAATGTGAATAGATACATAAAAAAATTAATATTTAATCAAGGAAGTCATGCTCAAGAGAAACTATAAGAACTTGTGTGAGACAAAATAAGAAAATACATGCAAGTTTCGTGGTCGAAGCACAAGCAAGGGTACAAACTCTAGATTTGACAAAATATTTGGGCTTTCGACACGTATTCCTACAAGGCTCACATTTAGATTAAAACTAAAATAATTATTATATCATAACTTTTCCCTATCTTTATTAAAATTTAAATCAAAATTAAAGATTGATAATAAAGAAAACATAAAATTAATGGTTAAATAGATAAAAATTTATTTCAATATCAAAATAGAAGAGATAATATTAACAATCAATTGATATAGTATGATATAACACTAAATTTTTTAAATAATGTTAAAGGTTCAAATATTGATGATGGCGAATGGAGTAAATTAGATTTGGAAGTTGCTTCATAAAGAGACTTACAAAATCTAATCTAAATTAATCAATTAATAAATTGAATACTAATAGTTAATTAAAAATAGTATAATTTATCCTAAAAAGTAGAATATATTAACCTTTTATATAAACATTAATAATTCATCGAACATAACATACACAAAACTCCTTTCGCTCAATATATATAGCCCATATCCCTAGTGGTTTGTCCACTGTTTTATAGTCCTTCCATGGCAGCTGCAATTGCAAATATTTCATAATCTGCAGCACAGTTGCACCCTACATCAATGCCTTGGCATCCACAGCCATCATAATTGTTCTTCATCCTTTGTTTCTTCTTCTTCTTCTTCATCTGCTTCTCGATTTCCGCCATCGCCGGACCTTGAATCAATTTTATTGATACACGTATTGAAGGAGGCTTGACACCAGTTTCAACATCCCCACCATTCATTGTGACCAACGTAAGCCAACACTCGTCAACCTCCATGTTTGGTGATTCAAAAACAGCCTTCCATGGCATTTCGGCTCGGCCCAAAACCACCGACTTCCCGAGTTTCCTCCTCCTCCGGAGCTCAAAAACTAGAGTCTGTTGCTTGAGGTGGTTAATTGATTCTTCAGATGCTGAGCATTCCAACGAGAAGGACTGGTTCCACATGATGAATTGAGATGAGTTTGTGGAGATTTGTTTGGTGTTTAGTTGGATTTTGTTGTTGTTTCCTGCAGGGAGATAGTATCTGATAAAAATGTTTCCATGGGATTTCAGCTCTATGTTTTTAGCTTCCAAGATTCTCAGTTCACAAATCAAATGAGCTGAAGCTCCCATTGAAGACGAAGAAAAATGCTTAATATTTGATTGCAGAAAAAGCCTTGGTTTTGCTGTGATTGTGTTTATCTGAGACTGATAGGTTTTATATTTATAGGGCTAAAGAAAGTGGAAAAGAAGTGGCATAGTGGAAGAAAGTGCATCAGCCACCATAATTTCCTGGTAAAAAAAGGCTCTTATTGATCATGAATGGCCAGAAAATCTTAATTCGACCCTTGCACTTTCTAAATTACAATCCAACAAATCCTAAGTTTGAAGAATTGACTTCCATCAGCCACTCAGTCGCCAAAAAAGTTGATTATCCTTACCCATTTCATCCCTTCCGTAAAGTTATATTTTTTATGGTTCGAATGCGTTACGTATTTAAAAAGTTCGTCACATGATTAGAATCGTCATCAATCGTTTTAGTTAAATACGACCGAATACTCATAAGTTTGGTCTGCGTCTACATTAAAATCATAGTCGAATTCAATAGTTAGTTACGTGTGAGAAATATTAAAATACTTCACGCCGCTTAAAATTAGTACACTCAAAATAATAAATTATCATGTTTTTTAAAAGAAAATTTAAATGACATTATAAAAGAATATATATATATATATCAATAAAAAACAATAATAATAAATATATTGATGGGAATACACAACCTTTAAAAATGAAACTATGAAAAGAATAATAATAATAATAATATGTCAGTAAAAATAACATTAATAATAATGAATGTAATTTATAATTTTAAACAAATAAAAATTATAATACATTTATTATTGGGATCAATATGTAAAAACATAGAAGTTAAACATGTTAAAACAGCAAAGAAACATGCAAATTGGATCTAATTATAATGACCTAAAAAGAGGAGGGAATTAGGTGAAATTTCCCCAAAATAGAGAGAATACCAAATCCTAATTGGTCGGGTCACATGCAGGTTAAAACGCGGGTGTAGGTCGTCGGCCTAAAACATAAAAACAATACCGTTTCAGAGTCTAGAAAGCCCTCCCAAAGAAATCACTGTTGTAATTCAAATATGTAGTTCAGTGTAAAAAACTCTTAGGGTACGTTTGGTTCACGGAATATAAGATTATCAGTGGAAATAAAAGATTATTAGAGAATATAATTACTGAAAATATTGTATTTTGTGTTTAGTTGGTTTAGTAAGAATGTAAGATTATCGTGTTTGGTTAAAAAAATAAAAGATTATTAGAATGTATATTTTATCAAATTATCCTTATTATATAATATTTGTTTTTTAATGAATTCAATATTACTATAATTAATTTATATATTTTCATTAAAAATTTTAAATTCAAAAAATTTATATAATTTTTTTTACAAAATTGAAAAAAAATAAATAGGTTTAATGAAATGATAAAATTTTATTTTAACCCCTGAACTTCATATAAAATTATAATTATGATTTTTTTTTAAAAAATCTAAAATAGTTTAAGAATAAATTTGTAATTTAACCTTCATAAAATTTTTGTTATTCAACGACAGAAAAATGATAATTTTGAAAAAAAATAATTTTTTTAAGGGCATTTTAATCCAAAACGCCAGTAATCCAACAATACCTAAGGGAATAGAGGTAATCACATTTCCGATAATATATCTCAAAAAATTACTGTTGGTAATAAAAGATTACCGAGAATAAGATTACCGTCCAACCAAACGGGAGAATGTAGATTCCATTCCCCCGGTAATAGGATATTATGTGAACCAAGCGGGCCTTAGGGTTTAAATACACATGGATTTTAAGATCACTCATAAAAGGCTAAAAGCTATGTGATCCAGACACTAGTATTCATTTTTCGGAAATCATTTTGTACGACAAATATTTGTACATAGAGGGTCCAAATATATCAATAATTTAAAAAATTACGCGTATGCGTATCGAATACATACCCGCATCCAACATTCATTCATCTCTAAGTCCAGATAACATAACATAAAAGCTTTCTACACTCAAAATCTGTAAAACTTTCTACAAGTGAAAATAACTTGAAGAAATGAATGCTTGTAAAACAAGTTTTACCTCTAAAATGCAATGACCAAAGACAAGCTTCCCTTTTAACTTAGATTCTTTATTCAGCCAGCCAGGAGAGCAACTCTAAAAGAAATTAAGCTAATAGCTCTGGAACATGAACAGCCAAATGCCAGATAATGGTAGCTTTTGTTCATGTTTTGCATTCCACATGTTGGTTCAAACATTTATGAGTCCATCTTCAGCGAGCTGCATGTTGAATCAGTGATTTTTGTCAGTAAAATTCAAGGAACTAATACAGTGTTCCGGATTAAAAGCTAAAAGAAACATATGCCTCGCAAGCTAATCAAGTTCAAAATGTAAACTGAACTCGTCATAGCTCAAGGTGACACGATTTAGAACATATAATCTCCTAAACAAATAAAAATTGATTATTACCAGAGCCCATTAGTTGCCTGATATGGTATTAGTTTGATTGCATACAACTCTTCTGTACCTCAACCTGTGATTGGAAGATATGTGATGGGATGAAACTACATGTGCTATAAACTCATGACACATCTAGATGTTTTGGGGGTTCACTGCTTACAGGTTCATATCCTCAAAATGTCTAGATATATGTCAGACAGATGTCGGGGTCAAGTACTTCAAGAAAAAGAAAGAGTTGAAACAACACATATCAAAGAAAATTACTAATTATTACCTTTTAATCGGCAACAGATGTAATAACACCAAACATGTAGAAATGCATTAAAATGTTCAATTTTACCTTTCATTGTGGGTTTGTCATATTTATCTTCCCCCTCATCTTCATTCTTCCATTCACTATCACTCTCGTCATCGTCATCCATTTCAGCCCTTCCGTCATTTCCTTCATCACTTTCACTAGCTGTCTCCCACTCCGAGTCATCTGTATCCGGTCCGAACATGTCACCTGATTGACCGTCACAATGAACACCCCCAAGTTTAATAGCCGACTCTCTAAATAACCAAGCTGCACGCATTTGCTTCTTGACTAATCGTTCAGCATAGTCAGGAACCTTATTTTGCCTCAGCGTGAGATCTGGGTCGTTTGACTGAGAGCATTCATTTATGAATAGAATGGCATCGAGCAAGCTCTCTTTAGCTAACCCAATCATGTCATAGGCCTGAGCTCTTCTCCATAGGCTTTTGGCATGACGGTTCACTGGATTGTGGAGACACAATGCACGTGTAGCATCACTTATGGCAGCCAAGGGTTGCTGCAATAGGAGATGACACTGAGCACGATTACTGTACAGAACAACTCTCTCCTTCTTGGATCTCATTGGGCACAACAATATTGCTTCTGAGTATTTTGACGCTGCTCCGGATATATTTCCCGAAGAGAAAAGCGAGTTCCCTTCAAGCTTGACCACTAAAGCAGCAGCCTGTTTAATATGGAGATCCTCCTTTGGCATGTTCTTTTCCAACTTCAATCTCTGCCTCGAACTCAATAGTTCTTCAATCAGTTCTTTCGTACGTAAACTAAGAGAGCCATATCTTGTCCCTTGTGACTGAATGCATTCCTGAAGAACATTAACAATGGAATCCCCAAGCTTCTTGTGATCACCCAGAGTCGTAATATCCGCTAGGTCTACAAGGGCAGGTACTGCCTTATCTATCACCTGTATAACATATATTATGCGTTTTATGGATAATATCATAACTTCAGAAATAAAATCCAAACAAGTACATAGTGAAATTTCTCGTGGAGGTAAGCTATTCAAAAGATCATTGTACCAACATATTAAAATTTGAGCGTAGAGCTTTAACTTTCCATCTTAAAATAGGTATAAGTTTCTCACCCAGACACGAGAGGAATATACCTTATGCATGTACTTGGATCTTGAAGCAACCAAAGAAGACAATCAATAGCCATATACTGCCAATCATCAGATGAGTGCGCAATATTACACAAATCCTCGATAATACCTGGACAGCTAGCAACAGGTCCCCTGCCAAGCTTATGGTGACAGATGGTTCTTAACAAACCAATACCAGCTGGTGAGTTTTCATTAACAAGTCCACCCCACATTCCCGGTAGTTTTACAAGAAATTCGGGTTTGCAAATGGTGGGAAGAAACTCAGGCTTGAAAGCGAAGCAATTAATGAGTTGAAGGGACCAGCATTGCAGCTGACTAGCCCATTCTTCAGCTTTCCTCGACTCCATTTCAACACCACCCATACCACGAGTAAGCAGATCACAATGATAACTTAGCCTTCTATCAACATTCTGATAAAAGTGAGAGTAAACTATTTCCAGTGAACTCATTGCAAGCTGAATGGAGAGCTCGAGAATTTCTCCATGACTTGCTACAGCAGGAAAAGTGCTTGAATATGTAGCCAAGTGTCCTAGGGCTCGAACTGCCACTCTTTGTTCAACCCAAGTCAACCTCCCTCTCAGAAGCTCAACTAAGGGAGGAATTATACCAGCATGCACAGCAGTTTCTGCAAACTCTTCCATGTTCATGGTGTAGGATCCAATAATATGTGCCGCGTAATAAGGAATGTATATATTTTGGTCATGAGAAAGCCAGCGACGGTTCTTGAAACCTTTCCAGATAAGTGCAGCCATGCACTCGAAAATCCCCAACTCGATGAATTCGGGATCATTAGGATGTGCCATGGCAGTATTCCAAAGGCCACTGATGGGAAGAACCTGGCCATCATCATCCTGTGAAGGAAGATCTCTAAAGAATTTCAGAATACTGGCTCTGCGCTTATTAGGATTTCCTTCTTTCATAACACAGAAAAAGCACCCGGGTATGGACAATTCGGAGATGCCTTATCCATGTTTAGATTGTTATCAGCATAAGAGTCCTATGGCACCAAGAACCCTCACGACACGAGAATCATAAAAAAAAGCCTTAACACTGTATGACAATGATAAATATAATTAGCATCTAGATTGCAAAGGAAGAAATCTTAAAAATTGAACATTTAAAAGAACTTTTAAATACATGGAATATCTGAGTATAGGGACATAACCTTCCAAGGA